ACCTGACCCGCCTGCAGCAACTGTGACTCACAGCTCCAACCTGTGACAGCCGTACGATCCAGCTTTCTTAACAAAAATGTTTCTGCGCTAATACAAAAATGTGCTTTCTCTACCTACACAACCTGCCAAACTTACTTAAGACAGGATAAGAAAGGCTCTGTCTTGATAGATTTTTACTACTGCTATTATTCTATTCAGTTACAACCAATCCTTATGGCTCTCAATCTTGTCAGAAGTTTGCTAACAGTATATTTTAAGTTTATGGCTGACAGAATGCCCAAAGCCTCTAACAGTTAGCCCAAGATATTTTCAGAAGACCTGGATGCCAGACTCCTAGAACATACAGCCTAGATTTTATCTAGACAAACACAACTGGATACCCTGAGTCAAATGACTTGGCTAAATAAAGGTAAGTCATTTCTCATATCATGCGTACCCATTCCACAGAAAAAAGCCCTGTGGCTTCTGCGCTTGGAAGCCAAACTGACTTCACCCAAGAGACTATGGAGACCACGGGAACTGTTGGCTAGTGGACTCTGTCATTTTTAAAAAAATAATATATAACTGGTAGATTGTTTACTCTTTACCAGACTTCTGACTACATTGACAGCTAAGTTTTCACAGATATTATCTGTTACCTCATTATCTAAACTCAGTTGAAAGACTGCTTGTGCTGTTATCTATTTTGTAAACTTATAAGCTACAGGAAACCCACTCAGATCTACCTCTCATGGATGCCATCCAGATAAGTACATCTGCCTAAAATTCCACTTACTACCTATAACAAAGGGTGGGATCCCTCTGGGTTTCAAATGTACATCTTAAAAAAAAATTCTTTCTCCAAGTGTTCTTAATCTTATTTCCTACAGCTTATCAAGTCCAAGTGCATCCAATACAGCTCCAAAGAAGCAACCTTCAGATGCTCCATCTCCTGCCACACACACAGCTGCTTCTACTGGACCTGTTCGTTCTGGCCTATCCTCAGATGTCTCGCTTCATAAACCCTAGACAGCAGAAAACAGCCAGCTCTCCTAAGACTGGACAAACAACCCCCATACCCATTCTTCTAGGTTCCCCCTAAAGACATGTTGCCCCCAAAACCAGCAGGAAGTAGCCAGATTTCACAGCGACCCTGACCCTATTCCTGCTTCCCTGTCACCTCTTTCTAATTTTTCTTTTTAATTAAACCAAAATATGGTAATGTTAGTAATCTGTTAAACTCCACCTCCTGCCAGTCACCTGGCAACAGCCAGGTATGCTCCTCCCCACAGTTACCTGGCAACAGCCAGGTAGGCCTACCCACTATAAAAGGGGCTGCTTGGCCCCTCCTCTCTCTCTTGGCCCTGCGACCCTGCGCCTACAGGTTGTCCTCTCCCCTCCACCCTTCCCTTCCCTCTCTCTCCACGTGGTCATGGCTGGCCTCTACCTGCTCTACTCTTCTCTCTCCTCTCGCTCTCCCACTCTCTTAATAAACCTCCCCTCATGGGGAAAAAAAACAGATACTGCCATAATTGTTTTTAAGTATGCTAGTATTGTTCTTTTTCACATAGTTATTATCCAAAGTCACCTTGCCCACTTGGCAGAATTATGCTTTTCTCTTTCTTCCTTTCTTCCCTTCTTCCCTTCTTTCCTTCCTTCCTTTCTTTCTTTCTTTCTTTCTTTCTTTTTTCTTTCTTTCTTTTCCTTCTTTCTGCTTTCCTTTCCTTTTCTTTTACTTTTATTTCATTTTTTTTTTGAGACTGTGTTTCTTTGTGTAATGGTCATGGATGTCCTGGACTCACTTTGTAAACCAGGCTGGCCTCAAACTCACAGGGATCAGCTTGCCTCTGCATCTTGAGTGGTGTGATTAAAAGCATGTACCACCACACCAGAACTATACTTTTCTTAAGAAGAGCACCAGGGACTTTATGGCAGGCCAGACCTTAATGATGGTTGTTACCTTGCATTGCCCGCTTGAGTTGCCCATTATGGGCATGTTCTCTGATAGAGAAAAGGGTCTAATGGCTAGTTGTAATTCATGTTTGTCTCCTGCTATTAGGAGAATGTAACCTAATGGCTGGTCAATCCGGATGAAAATTTTCATCCCAGCAGCCTAAATATTGCTTGACCAGCAGACTAATTGTCTTTGTGGTATTTTGGAGGCAGTGCTGCCTAAGCTAAAATCTATTTGGTATGACATAATGTCTTCTAAGCAAGTAAATCCTCTATAACATCAATTATAATTAGCAAATCCTCTATAACATCAATTCTAAATTTTAAGTTTCTTCTACATCAGAGCCATGCCTGACAGTATGAGGATATTTGTTATTGTAACAATGAGCCTCATAAAGACTAAAACATACAAACTTCTGAAACTTTTCTGAAAAATCCATTCTATTTATAGATGTATGAACCCTTCCTATCTTTTGAAATAAAAAGTAGTATCTGACTTTACAGCACACCATCCTTCTGGTCTAGAAAAAACTATTTGAATTAAATTATTTAACTATCAAGCAGAAGCTCACTTTTTCCTGAAGTTACCTCATGGGTATTTGCCTCTACCTACTTGAAAAGAGCTAGAAAGGCTCAGGGAAAGGTGGACATGAGCAAGGTGACATCAAGGGACAATAAAAATACTGTGAAGAGGACATGTGGATTTGGTGGGATCATCTAATAAGTTTATGAGATCAGACATAACACCCCATCTTCCTGGTAGGTGATGAAAAACAGAGCAAGATTATATCTGATACTCAAACTGTCAGCAACATGGAACATCTATAAGGAGTCAAAGAGCACGGAGGTCTTCTTGAGAATGTGGTATATTATTGCCATTGTATTTGGATCTTGTTTGATAATAAGGGTTGGTAAGCATATTTCATGGCTATAGATTCTAAAAAAAAGGAGAAAAAGAAGCTAGGAAGCAAAGCTTTCACTCATTTTGAAGCATTCAACAGTTATGACACTACAAACTTCTTGGGAGGATAAGAATTGACAGTTCCTGGGTATCATGAGCTTTTCCTCAGCAAACAAGACCCCACAGGACCTCAGGTGAAAACTCCCAACTGTGCCTGTTTCCCTGAAGTTCAAAACTATGTGAATATATGGTAGATTTTTTCCTAAGTCACAGATATTGTGAACCAACAAGTTTCAGGTTTCCAGGGTACATACACTCCAACAAACATTATTTAAAATTCATCTATAATTTCTTCCTTTCTTTGAAATTCAAAATGTGTTTTTAAAAACTAGCATTATCAACAGGGTAACCTGACACTGATTAATTACTAATTGATAAATAAACTGAGTATTTAGAGTATGCTTGACAATTTATATGCAAAAAAGAAAAATCTCACAACTGATCCTGATATCCACAAGTAACAAGTGCACAAGTTGTTCCTTCAACACTGCCACACCAGTCAACCGTCTTTGGAAGGATGGCTTCATAAGAGCACTCAGATACCAAAAAATGATTGGCTAATACCAATGGATTTCTCAATTGATACAAAGGTGAAACAATTGTGTCTTCTCTTCCCTTGCTACTATGCCAAGCTATCCAATATCCCAAAAAATAAGTTCATTAATCTCTTTCAAGAGTGAAGATGTTGGCACAGGCCATAACCAGCAAATCAGGTTAAAAAAAAAAAGCCTTCAGTCATTATACACTTCCGTTTTAAAAGCTAAAGGAACTATAAGAAGAATGGGGAATGAAAATGAAGCTAAACACACAAATCGGATGGTCCTGTGAGAATAATCCTTCGGTTGGCAATGATGAAAGACAATGAGACTCTTTTCAGATGGAGGAACTGGTTATGGATACACTGTATATGAGGAATCAGGCTCCTGGGCAAGATTACACGAACTAAGAAAGCCAGTCAACATCCGGACTTTACTGCTGTCATTTGCAGAAAAATGCAGGTTCACAGAGAGAGCTTATCTTTATTTCAAAAACCTCAGGATGCAATAACTAACCCCTTTGTGGGAATCAGAAAATTATTTGCCTACAGTTCTTCTCTCTAATGTAGCCATCATGTTGCATAAAGAAATCCAAACAAAACTCCTGTTCACACTTCTGTTCAGACTCATCTATAATTTAGTCTACATAAGAACCTGCACACAATGAAATGGTTCTAACTAAGCCATTACACACACTATGTCAATGCAAAAGATAGCTCACTTAAAAAACATTTTATGGAGTCTAGGAGTTGCCTAGGGTGAAGTTTATATGTTCCACTAGCTATTTGGAGAATAGAACAGTTTACAGTGACAAGAAAAGTAGGACCAGTAAAGTTACTGTAGCAGAAAGGAAGGGAGGAAAGGAAATTGGAAGAATTATGAAATCCCAATTTCTGATACAAATAGCACTGGATGTTGCAAGGCCCATTCATAAAAAGAAAAATCCTTTTTCATAACACATTCATACCGAGATTAACTTTTATTATAATGTATAAGAAGATAATAGATAGAGTTATAATGAAAATGGAGCATACAGTTAAAAGAAATGAAAAAGTCCTTTCCAGGGAGATGCCAGACTAAGGAACCAGGAGCAGAGCAGCCAGCCATCTGGAGAACAACACACGATTGCATTTCATTTACCTTAGTGATACAGCTTAAGTCTCTCATAAGTAGAAACCTCCCCCAAGCAAAACACGACAAAGACACAGGGCTGAGTGAATTTTACCACATGCTTTATCTCTGTGCATTTATCCAAATGCATTATTGTCCTTTGAAGCAAACACATCATTAACCCAATTCAAGCTGCTGACGTCACTGAGTCCTGAACCTCAGCACTGAAATGTCAATACCAATTAACTACCAACGGAAATAAACCATAGACTTGATATTTACTACATTTATGAAAGCTCCTGGGAGTCCAATTAGCATTAATTCCAAAAGTCCTTCGTCGTTGCTAATTCATACTCTATAGAGAAACAATCATTTGAAGCCACCTGAGTAGCCATCCAAACGGACAGAGACAGCTCTCAAAATCATTAAGAAGGAACAAGCTGGATTCTCATCCACCAAACCTGAAGGATGTCTTCACCAAGGCTTCTGGGCTATCGAGCTGTGGCAATTCATCTGCCAGAATTTCCTCTGGGGGTCGGGTGTCCTGGACAATTGTTGGCCGTGGCTTCTCCTTAACATTCCCAGTGAGCCCATCAATGAGGGAGTTCCACAGACAGTTCTGTGACTTAGACCCTGAGGATAAAACAGAAATGTACAAATGAGTCACAGCTATGCCCTTCATCCCGATCCAGGATATGCAAAGGTAGAGCAGAAAATTTAGATATCTCTCATCACCACCTAATCTCAGGGCTCCATGAAATAGATATTCAGCAGGAAATTTGTGGATAAATAAGGGATCTTTTTATTTATATGCAGAAGACAGGCTAGCACTAGATATACAGAATTACAGTTGAATACCAAGAACATCCTGTTTCAGTGTAGAGGGATCAGCTTCACATGTTGGGGAGTACCACCTATATCCATGACGATGTCTCTTCAGGGATTTCCAGACACAAGTTTCCCCTATGAGTTGAGCTTGTCAGAGACCAGGTTTGACATGCCATTCTAAAAAGATACCCATCCTAAGAGTGCCCACTTCTAGGAATTACCAGTCATTATCAAGCTGTCTGATTCTTCTGCAATAATAAGATTTGGGAAAGGCTACTTTGTAATATTTATTTCTTGACAGTTCAGCCTGAAAACACATCAGACATGTTAGCTAAGTATGAAAGGTGAACATCAGGTGAAAATGATGTTACAAGTGTAGAGATGAATTAGATACATGTGGTGGTCTGAATATGCTTGGCCCAAGGAGTGGCGCTATTAAAACCACCACACCGAAAGATGTCAGTATCAACATGATAATGTATGATAATATGATAAAAGTGTCTCTTATATTCAAAGACATTGGAAGTTTTTGCTGGACCTCACAGCCAGAATTAATAATACACCTTGAGGTCACTTAAGACTTAAGACTGGCTTACTGTATACTAAAACTACTGTTTAGTGTGTTTTTGAGAGAAAATTATAACAACCTGTTGGGAGCCGACTCCGAGCAGAAAGCGGCTATCATCTTTACAGCCATCTCAAGCCATATAACCTGACAAGAGACTTGTTTTCAACTCCCCACAACAGCTGAGCACACTCTGATAAACATCTTGCTTTTCTTACATATCTTGTTGTGTTGTTTAATGCCCCCAGCTGCAAGGTGCACGTGGTAAAGTGTCTTCAGCTGCATTCCCCTGCTTATGCTTATATATACCGAGGATTTCCTTTCAATAAAGGTGGGGACTTAAACAGACTCTCTGTTTTGTCTTCATTCTTTGCATCTCTTGCCCTTCCATCCCCACTCTCTCTCTTGCTAGACCCTGACCTATGGATTGGAGCAGCAGCTCGGGCTGTTACAACAACCAACCTTACTTGCCATGGATTTCCCATGTAATCAACTTTTCCAACCTAAGCTAAAGCATGGCTGTGATCTTAAGTTTGGAATTCTTGCATACCCCTGTCTCATGGAGTGATGCATATGTGTCTATATGTCATGATCATCATTTGCTGAAAACAAAAAATGAAATGAAAGCAATCTTATATCATTAGAATCCATCATAAATGGTGGCTATAATATATGAATATTTCTTGATAAACAATGATATTATAATAATGTCTATTATTTGGGTCTATTTGGGTCAATTAGAATCAGTGACTTAATCTCTTATGAAATTTTGTAAATGATTCCTTATTCCTTCCAGTATGATACTTTCTGTGCTGTTCTATTAAAGAGAGCACCAAGTCCTTTGTTACAGACACACCCATAGGCACATTCACATGCACAGGGACACAGAGCCAGGAACAGATCCACAAGAGAGCACTCAGGCATGCATAGATTCAGATTTATACAACAGACAGGCAACAACAGAAGATGGTGGGCTGGAGGAGGACAGCAAATCTGAGTTTGCTCTTAGATAAATTACACCAAGTAGAAGTGCTCAATAATTTCTTTTCAATAATGTAACGCTGACACATTATAAGTGATTCTAAGTTTATTATTAATGCATTCAAACCAAAGCACTGTCAGAACACAGCCTTGGTAGGATGTGACAAAGTGTTCCTTTACCTCTTCTAGCTCTTCCATAACAACATAGAGTCCCTACCTATTAAGCATGGTTGTAGCTTCTGGAACCTCTGTGCTTTTAAATAAATTAAAATCTGCCCAACTTGTACGTACCCAACACAGCCAACTTCATCGCTTTTCTTGGCCTCCTGCCCCTGATCACCCACTAGAACCCAGGGTCACCCAACTTCTTCTTTATTGGGTTTTCATGCTCCTTATCTCTATTCACTGCCCTAATAACCCTAACTCCCTAATCACCCAGGGGACAGGTCACATGGAGTTAAATCTAAGCAACTCTCGTTCTACTCCAGAGATCACAGATATCATTCAGTTTGCCCAACCCTGTGCCTCCTTCCCTGATCTCACTTACTCCTCCCACAGAAACTCAAATCATAGCTCCTACTCATAGTACTCCCTCCTTCTGCATCTGTCCCATAATCCATTGCTTCACCATATGGCCACACTAGGATCAATGAGTATAAAAGCAATTATCTACACAACGTCAGTTCTCTCCTAATCTGTAGACTTCGTCATTATAAAAAAATAAATTAAAATTGTTGAAACACAGCTAGTCATGGGGTAATGGTTTTATATTTGCACCAAGACACCATGAGGTGGCCCAGCCTCTCTTCCATAGAATTGCATTCATCTGGTTTGACTTTTAACACTCCATCCACACAGAAGAAATACCATTCTAATTCAACAAAGCCTCTTGATGGAACATGAGTAATGTACAGGGAAGAGTCTGAGTCAAAATCAGCTATACCCATGCTGCAACAGGAAGGTAGAGAATAGGTATGTGCACATAGAGACACTTAGCTTCTTGAAGACCTTAACCAGCCCTCTGCATCCCATCATAGAAGAAATACTGGCTTGCTATGCCTGAAGGATGGCTCTTATGAAGAGCAAAAGAATATCATACATCTGAGGGAAAGTATCTCTGTGATCCTTTATCAAGGACACCCATGATAGTGAAAAGTTCAATTAATGACCATCACCATCAATGATGATGATCCGATTGGAGTGTCTATTCAAACTACTTTTACATCTGTCAAGAGCACATTAGGAACAGGAAACAGATTCATAAGCCCCTGAAATACAGGACAGTTTTGAAGCCCTAACCATATAGCTTAATATGATCTGGTTTTATTAATGAAGTCTGGTTCTATGTTAATTATATGTTAATGAAGTTCTGGTTCCAGGAGAAGGACAAGAATAGCAGCTGCTACGTAAAGGTCTTACAATCAACTTCCTGGGCATTTTCCTCCATTCCTTCATTTTCTCATTCAATAAATATGCATTAAATTTCATCAGTGACCCAGGTCTCATTTCAGACCCCAAAATAGAGAGTTGAATGAGGAGTTAGGGCTATGAAAGGAAGTGTTGGAAATCTTCAGTGGATCCAAATTATAGCTCCTACCAGTCTTATAAATTCACTGCTGTGTATTTGTAGCTCTGACCACTAACAATATCAGCAATACTGCATAGCTAGGGAGCAACAAGGTACGATAGGAACACAGAAGGTTCACCTACTCAGCTTCGGGGACCTGGAAGAGTGACAAGGAAATATGACACAGACACAACAGAGCCACCAACTGAGGCTGGAGCAGAGACACCAACTGAGGCTGGAGCAGAGACAGAGGATAGCTATCTAGAGGAAAATCCAAGGGCTTGCTAGGGCCATAAGTTTCTTGAAAAAAAAATGGTTAAAATTAAAAAAAAGTTATGGTAGCCTGATGGGTTTTTTGTTTTTTTGTTTTGTGTTTTTTTTCAAGGAGACTCATACACTGCAGGGGCAGGACTAGACGAGGGTCCCCATGAAATCATACAAAGTGGGACATATTATTTTTAAGCAAAATAGCAAAGCTTTATTTACACAGATGACTAATTCTTAACTATAAACAAACCAATAAAATACAAATTCATTTGCAAGCATTAGGAAATTCATTATATCTGTCTATCATTTTGGTGAATCAGAGGGATCATAAAATGCAAGCCACCCTCTATACGGGTCCCAAGGGGAGATACAAATGGTGTGTCCAAAAACCGCACCAGCAGATAAAGACACAATGACACACTTAAGGGCAATGAGAGTAAAATCGATAGATCGGACTCACTTAACACTCATCAGTAGCTCCCAGCTCACCTGCCTTCCTCCTTTAAAGGAAAATAACAATACATGCAATTCCACAGCTTTCCTTGCTGCCGTAGCTAGCTTTGTGTGTAATTCTGCCTCAATTAAATATAATCGGAAATTCCTGAGGCTATCCTGAGAACACTTTCATCCCTTTAAACTTCAACTTTCCCTCTTTTCTCTTCATGTTTTCTTCCTACTGAAAGGTAACAATAGTATTTGAGCTGCAGCAGCCATCTTGCTAGCATGAGGTGATAAACATTAGGACAAAAACCTACATCTTGCAAAGGTAGTTTGGAAAAACAAAATCAAGTAGAAGCAATAGGAAGCAGTAGTTGATTAGGTTCAGATGATAAAGAAACACTAGTAAGGAAAAAGCTATTCTTTTTAGAATAGAGTTTTGTGGGTATTCTATGCAGCATACCCAACCCAGGTTATCACCACTCTCATTATCTTGAAACTATTTTATACCCTGAAATTAAAGAAAACAGATGGGTAACATGATTCTTGCCTACAGAAAAAAAAAAATAAGAACCTTATCAAATGAAATACAACTAATTACTTTCTTGCAGATACTGACAAGTCTTGACAGTTTTATGACTATTAAGCAAATTCATTTCTGCTCTCCTGCTGCTCTTAATTATCTGTCTGCCTTAGGATTTGCTGTGCTGGATACCTACCCTGTCACTATGACAGATGCCTGACATAAAGGACTTAGGTAGAAAAGATTTATTTTGGCTCATGGTTTTTGTAGTATTCATCCATCACAGCAAGGAAAGCATGAGAAAAGAATTTACATCATGGTAGATGGGAAGAAGAGAAAATGAAATATAGGAAGAAACCAGGGCAAGATAAAGCTCCCAGTTACATAGCCCTAGTCACCAATACCTTCAACAAGAGCCCACCTTCTTTCATATGCCCTTTAATGTCACCAAATTGTCTATCATG